ACCACAGCAAACTGTGGCAAGTCCTTAAAGAAATGGGAGTGCCTGATCACCTTATTTATCTCCTGAGAAATCTGTATGTAGGACGAGAAGCAACAGTTAGAACTGGATATGGAAACACTGATTGGTTCAAAATTGGGAAAGGAGTACAACAAGGCTGTATATTGTCCCCCTGCTTATTTACGTAACTTACATGAGGAATATACATAATGCAAAAGGCTGGACTGGATGAATCCCAATCTGGAATTAAGATTGCTGGAAGAAATATCAACAACCTCAAATATGCAGATGATACCACTCAAATGGCAGAAAGTGAGGAGGAATTAAAGAACCTCTTAATGAGGGTGAAAGAGGAGAGTGCAAAAAATGATTTTAAGCTCAACATTTAAAAAATAAAACTAATATCATGGCCACTGGTGCCATCACCTCCTGGCAAATAGAAATAGAAGATATGGAGGTATGGACAGATTTTACTTTCTTGGGTTCCATGATCACTGCAGATGGTGACAGCAGCCACGAAATAAAACTAATATCATGGCCACTGGTGCCATCACCTCCTGGCAAATAGAAATAGAAGATATGGAGGTATGGACAGATTTTACTTTCTTGGGTTCCATGATCACTGCAGATGGTGACAGCAGCCACGAAATTAAAAGACACCTGCTTTTTGGGAGGAAAGTGATGACAAACCTAGACAGCATTTTAAAAAGCAGAGACATCACCTTGCCAACAAAGATCCACATAGTGAAAGCTTTGATTTTTCCAGTCGCGATGTATGGAAGTGAGAGCTGGACCATAAAGAAGACTAACCGCCAAAGAATTGATGCTTTTGAATTGTGGTGGTGGAGGAGACTTTTGAGAGTCCCCTGGACTGCAAGGAGATCAAACCTATCCATTCTGAAGGAAATCAACCCTGAGTGCTCACTGGAAGGACAGATCTTGAAGCTGTGGCCATCTCATGAGAAGAGAAGACTCCTTGGAAAAGACCTTGATGTTAGGAAAGTGTGAAGGCAAGAGGAGAAGGGGACGGCAAAGGATGAGATAGTTGGACAGTGTCTGCGAAGCAACCAACATGAATTTGACCCAACTCCGGGAGGTAGTGGAAGACAGGAGGGCCTGATGTGCTCTGGTCCATGGGGTCACGAAGGGTTGGACACGACTTAACGATTAAACAACTCTACAACAAACAAACAAAAAAGCAAACAAACAAAACTTTTCTGGAAAGCTTCCACAACATTTCTAGTATGCCTCTTCAGACACATGTTGGATGATGATCCCAAACTCCCCCAGCCTGCGCAGCCACGTTTCCAAGCTCGTGCACACTGTCAAAAACAGGACTCTGGATTTCATGGACCCACTTCACCAAGTCTCCCTGCACGCGGGGCCCTAGGAGGTGAAGCTTTCCCGGGGACTCCAGAACACCTTGAGCGATGAGTCTCGAGACCCTCCACCTTCCATTTTCCCAATCACAACCAGATTTCTTGGTTTCTGGTTCCTCTATGGCAGTGGTCCCCAACCTTCACTGTCAAAAACAGGACTCTGGATTTCATGGACCCACTTCACCAAGTCTCCCTGCACGCGGGGCCCTAGGAGGTGAAGCTTTCCCGGGGACTCCAGAACACCTTGAGCGATGAGTCTCGAGACCCTCCACCTTCCATTTTCCCAATCACAACCAGATTTCTTGGTTTCTGGTTCCTCTATGGCAGTGGTCCCCAACCTTACCCTGGGGTTCCCACTCCATCCTCTTTCTCCTTCGGAGTAAAGTCCCAAGCGACTCCACCCGCCTATGCCGTTCCCATTCCATGTAAAGTGAGTTACCTTGGTAGCAACAGAAGACATTTAGGTGACCTGCAGTTGTTTCCCCCCCCCTCCCAGCTACCCTTGCCTTCCCACTCCCTCTTAATACTTCCTAGCTCAGCTAACTGAACTCAGCTGGAAAAGTCACGCAGTGGTCCTTTATGTGAACGGCCATGGCCTTTCTACATTTCACTCATATCAAAACGGTCACCAGCCCATTTGCGAAGGAGCTGAAACAACACAGGATGTGACCAGTCATGTAGCCAGAGCTGAAATCGCATTCATGAGCTTGTCAACCAGGGTAAGATCAGGCAACAAAACGGTGCCTCTCCCAGTTTTGTAGAATTCTTGGATGGTACATCTCTCAGAGTTACTTTACACTGCCACGTTTCCATGCTCCATCAAATCAAGACACTGGGTTTCATGGCTCACTATTCCAGTTCACCAGTTGTCTCTGCATAGAATCGTAAAATCAT